CGCTAATCGATACGAGCATTTATCTTCGTTGAGCGAGATAATTGGAAAGCACCCGTCCCGGAGGCTTTAACAGTGCTTTATTAGTACTAGTAAGACGTAACTCGCTTGCGGCTCGCACGAATTATGCAAGAAACAGTATTTGCACCTTATAAGGATGACCCGCCGCGAACGCTCACCCATTGAACGCATACGCATCGCACACTGATTAAGCCTGTTTTGCTAAGAACCGTCTGCCGCGTTAAGCCGAACTCGACAAATTGCTTTCTCCACGTCCAGCGCGATTCGCAGTCTGGGTGTCACTCGCGAATTATGGCACCTGCTTTTTTTCTGTCAAGGATACGTTACGCGAAGAACCTAGTTTCGCATTCTTGCGAAATTAGGTTCTCCCCCGAGTCTCACGTTATTATATGCTCCGAATATCTATGGCGTGGTAAAATATATATAGCTACATATACGTATTTTACTTACTGTTTTACTTGTCTCTTTGCATGAACAATTTTAAAATGGTATATTTTTTTCAGATTATCATGCATTTGTTACATTGCCTGTTTTCGTAATTTATGTTGTAGTAGACAAATATTAACGATACAACTTTATAAACCATCTGTTGCAAATGGCCACATAATCACGAAACGATAGTCGTTAAGTATATTAAATCCCTCTTAATACCACGCATTTTTCATAGTTAATATTGAATCAATGAATAATTTTAATAAGTAATATTGATTTAATAATTCTCTGTTACAAAATGCAACATAACTTGTTAAACACTGCCAGGATTTTTTATTTACATTTATTTATACATTTCTCATGTGAACATCATTTGGGATATTAATTCTATAATATTCCAAAGTTACTTCTATGACTATTAATATCTTTTTAATCCTTGACATTTATTTAAGGAAAGGTTACATGATTAATAAATCTAGTACAAGCAATCTCGAAAACGCCATTGATACTGAGATTCACTTGTTCATAAAAACTACAAATGTTGCTAATTATATTATTGATAAAATTTGAGTAGAGCTTTATATAATTAGCTAACAATTTTAGTAACAATTTTATAATTTTCAGATTTATATTTATATTATAAAAATAAATTTTATAAAAAGAAATATAAGCTTTTTCTTGACAAGACTTTCATTAGACTTTCATTAGAGCAATGACAAGACTTGTCATTACATCCATTGAAAATTTAATATTTTGAGATTACGTAGAAAGTTTCTAATTATATTCTACCTATATCTTTAATTCTTATAATAAAAGTTACTTCATTATGTATATACACGCATAAAATGGCGCTTGTAATATTTTCTGAGGGGTCCTTTAATTTATCCGTGCCATTTTCTTGAAAAAGTTTACACAAAAGAAATTCTATACCTTTGGCGATTATCCTGCGATTTGATCGGCTCTCTTCCGCGTGTCTATTAGCGACAGTCGCGTGATTAGAAATTTCAACGCTCGATTGAGTTGCGCAAGAGACATTTTGCACCTTACATGAGGCATGTCGATCCGATGAGAAAAAGGCCATCGAGGTCCATGTCGCTTATCGGCCAACATCTCGCGTACTCTCGCTTTCTCCAAATGTAAATGAAGTGTCTACTTTGTGAGAGTGATCGATTATTTACTTAAGATTAATCTGCACGAATCTTGATATGGCATCAAACAAACAGGATAGCGCGCTGTCTGGCATCCGCATTTATTATGCTCTAATAATTGCCCTACTTATTACGTGCAGCGAAATAAGTGTTAATGATTGTTAATGATAAATATGTAAATGATAATTGTTAATGATAAAGTAATGAGCGCGTGCCCACACACGAAGTTTTGAAATTAACTTTTTCACGTTCTATTACGTATTTTAAATTTAAATGGTCTCTTAACGAAACTCTTGAGAAAGCACAACCTCTTCTTTTTTGAAGTCTTTTAAGCATCCAATTGCAAGAGTAGAGGATGATTACTCATGTCACTGGTAAATGGTTTGCAAATAAATTCTGTCATAAATTTCATCAATGACGACTTCTGCCTGACTCGATAGGAGGGATGGTTTACACCGCGCAAATCGTGGTCCTTTCTTTTTCGTGAAATAATATGCCATTTCGCGGTTGCAAGATGCTCTGCGAGAATGTTGTTCGCGAGTCCCTTTACATTTACATAACTGCGATCCGCGTAATTTCCCGAGAGAGACTCGAGCGAACTTACGCTGACCTCAATAAAACCAGTATCGTTATTATCGGACGCTTCCTACATAGAGTTCTCATTTACATAATAATGACGTTTTACGCCAGAATGTCTCCTGGATCAGTCTCAATGAACGCCTTGAAGTCTTTGTCGTGATATGAGTTCATGGTTCATTCATTTTAGAGAAAGTAAATAATCGAATGACAGATACATAGGATATAAACAATTTATGTGAGATTTATATTGATATAAGTAATATAATTTTAAACCTATATTTAAAATTTTTATGCATAACAACATCCTCTCTCTTTCTCTCTCTCTCTC